ACTGATCACTCACAACCAGAACCAAAGCATTATTTCAGAGGCTCTTTTTTTTTCCAGGAGTTCTAAAAGTAGAATTAACTGGTGAGGAATCTGGTTGTTAACAGGAGGATACACAACAAGACACAAGACTATGCAAATTACAACCTAGAGGAAAAAAATAAAAATCATTTGTGAATGCATCAGATGTTCTCAGAACCTTTTGCTTCTCTGCTTCATCTTAAATTACCTCCCAAATTCCTCCCTAAATTTCAAGTTGGTGCAGGAAGATAGCAGAATGACTTTGAACATCATTAGTGGAAAAAAGCAGAAAAGACCATCAAGCTTTACCCTTTAAGCTGAAAGGGTACTGACAAATAACCATAAGTGAAAACAGAAAGGAGAATGGTAGTGGATTTGTTGTTGTTGTTTTCGTCTAAATGGAAAACACAACTCACAATGAGTTTTAACCTGTGCTGCTGACCAAAAATGTGAGAGCTGAAATTACCAGAGCATACAAAGTTTCCTTCTTTCCTTCTTACATAAAGAAGTTCCCCACATCTGGCACCTCTGGTTTGCTTTTATACTACTGAATTAAGAATTTATCTTTTGCATCACAGAAAACCAGAAAGAAAAAAAAAAAAAAAAAAAAAGACAAAGAAAAGATGACCAAGGGGTGTTGACATTGGGACTGACATTACATCAATTCTGAAGGCATAGGCAGTTGGAAGTTACACACATGGATGTCTAACCATAATACTCTTTTTAAGAAGACTGCAGTGGCACCCCGTGAGCGAATAGCAGACATAGAGGTAATGTAGCAAGTTTTCTGCTTTATTTGCCACAGAATTGTACAAACTTTAAACTTCTTCAAGCCCAAATAGAATTGAATCTTGCCAGGAATGGCAAAAAGAAGTGCTTTGACAAGTACATCAACACAAAAGACGAGAGAAAATGTGGGTCTTCTGTTGAATTCAATGGGAGACCTGATTATAGAGGGCAATGAAAAGGACAAGGTTCTGAAGGCCTTCTTTTCCTCAGTTTTTGCCAGAAAGACCAGACTCCAAGCCCCAGAGACCAGGCTGAAATGTCGGATCAAGGAAGATGTGTCCTTTATGAAAGAGGATAGGGCCAGGGAACACTTCATCAAACTAGGCATGCACAAGTCCATGGGCCCTGTTGAGGTGCATCCAAAAGTGTTGAGGGAGTTGGCAGATATCACTGCAAAGCCACTCTCAAAATTTTGTGGTTGATTTTGGCAACTGGGAGAACTGCACTAAGACCAGGGGAAAGCAACTGTCACTACTATATACATGAAGATCAAGAAGGAGGCCCAGGGTATTACAGGCTACTCAGCCTCGCCTTGATCCCTGGGAAACTGATGGAACAGCTAATCCTGGAAACCATTTCCCACCACATGAAAGAGAAAAAAAATCATCAGGAGTAGTCAGCATGTAGTCACCAAGTGGAAGTCATGCTTGACTTAACCTGATAAGCTTCTATGATGAAATGACTGGCCTAATGGATGAGGGAAGAGCAGTGAATATTGTCCTCCCATTCTTCAGTAAGGCCTTTCACACTGTCCCCCATAAGATCTTCACAGAGGCGCTGTTGAAATATGGGCTGGATAAGTAGGCAATGAGGTGGACTGAAAAGTGGCTAAGCAGACAGACCCAGAGGGTAGTGGTTAGTGGCACAGTCTATTTGGAGGCCAGTAACAAGTGCAGTACTCCTTGGGTCAGTACTGGGTACAGTCGAGTTTAACAGCTTAGGTAACAATCTGGATGAGGGGATAGACTGCACCCTCAGTAAACTCACAGATTACTCAAAAGTGAGGGTAGAGGCTGATGCACCAGAGGTCCATGCAGCCATCAGAGGGATCTTGACAGACTTTAGAAATTGGCTGAAAACAACTTTGTAAAGTTCATCAAGGAGAACTACAAAGTCCTGAATTTGATGAGGAACACCACCAAACACAAGCACATCCTGGAGCAACCAAGCTGCAAAGTAGCTTTGCAGAAAATGAAATAGGAATCAAGACAGCAATTTACCCTTGCCACTACAAAGATGAATGGTGTCTTGAGCTGCATTAGGTCGAACATTGACATCAGGTCCATGGAGGCAATCCTTCTCAACTCAACACTGGTGAGGCCTCACCTGGAGTACTATGTCCAGCTCTTGTCTCCCAATATGTCCTAGTTTCAGTTAGAACAGAGTTGATTTTCTTCCTAGTAGCTGGTAGAATGCTGTGTTTTGGCTTGGGATGAGAAGAGCGCTGATAACACCCCAATGTCTTAATTGTTGCAGAGCAGTGCTTATACCAAGCCAAGGACATCTCAGCTTCTTGCTCTGTCCTGCCAACAGGCAGGCTGGGGGTGCAGTAAGAGCTGGGAGGGGACAGACCCAGGACAGGTGACCCAAACTAGCCAAAGGGGTATTCCATACCATCTGACGTCATGCTAAACAATATATAGGGGTGGCTAGCTGGGGGAGGAGGGCCGGACTGCTCGGGGTTAGGCTGGGCATCGGTCAGCGGGTGGTGAGCAATTGCATTGTGCATCACTTGTTTGTACATATTAGTAGTACTATTATCATCATTGTATTATTATTATTATTATTATTATTATTATTGTTATTGTTATTGTTATTGTTATTGTTATTGTTATTATT